GTCTGTGCCTCTCCAGGTAGCCCTGCCCCAGGCAGGCAGGGAGTCTGTGCCTCTCCAGGTAGCCCTGCCCCAGGCAGGCAGGGAGACAGATTCTGGGGCAGAAGCAAGCCCGGAGGCATAGGAGCAGCACATTTGACGGGCAGGTTAAAGAACTGTACTGTAAGGAAGGAGTTCTCTGAGACAGAACTCAAGAAGAATTAGAATCCACCTTCTGTAAGGCGTCATGTTTGCCACTGTGGTTGACAGCCAGCTGAGCTGGCATAAAGGGAAAAAAGCAAGCCTTAGAGGGTTCAGGTAAAGAGAGACACATGTAAAGATCAGGTCTGCTCCTCGGGAAGCTAGGGAGCTGGTTATGCAACCTGCCAGCTGGGGAGGCTGGCGGGCAAGTGGCTGCAAGTCCTTTAAAGGGGAACATACCTTCAGAAGCTTGAACTTTAAAGCAAACAACACACACGCCTCGCAGCCCCGTCCATCTGGAGTGTTTTGTGATCAGACACTGGCTGGCTGCTTCAAACACATGTGTTCAAGCAAAGGTCTGATAAACACCTCTGCTGGCAGGGCCCAGGCCCCAAGGAGCACCAGCCACCAGCTCCTCCAGGAATGCCCTTAGCGTCCGCATTCGGGGGAGGCAGGTCTCAGGTCTCCCTCGGGCAAAGGTGACCTTGGAGCTCACTGGGGAGACTTCACAGACCCCCGGCCTGACCTCTCTCAGGGACATCCCCTTTCCTGCCACTGTCCTCCCCTCTCCAGTGTAACTCAGTCCCCTCTGAAGCTGCTGAAAACCGTGTGTGGGATGAAGCCACAAGTCATTAGCATTAGTAGGACTCTTGATCCAGGGGGAGTGCCACCTTCAACTCTCCTTCAAGGCATATGGATTTTTTAAAAAATCCTTTTCATTAACTCTTGAGCTCCTCTCGAACACACCCATGGAGTGACAGGAAATGAGGCTGAGTCAGGCCTTAATTCTGGGCTGGCCGTGCCCATGTGGTGAACCAATAGGGCTGCTGTCATCAGCACCAAACAGCAGGGAGAATTTATGACCCATGACTCGGGCTTCCAGGGATCCTGAGCACATCTGCAGGGAGGTGGGGGGAAGGCCTGTGAGCAGGGACCGGCCCTCCTCGTCTGCACCTAGGAGCACCAGGATAGGGCCCCGACCCCAGCGGCTCTCATGTCCTCCCACTTCCATTTCTCCCAGGGTCTTCAGGCCTGCACCGCCTTGAGAGCCACACTCTGCACCCCAGGGAAAGCGTCAGCTCCCCAGAGGAACGCCATCACCCGATTGTGCAAACCTCGGCGGCAGCTGGACACTGGGACACAACGTGTCCTAACTCTCCAAATAAGCTCGAGTACAGGAAGTTTCAGTTCAACAGTGATTGGCGGCTTGAAAGCCTTCAAATTCAGAAATGGGTTGAACAATGAGAACACATGGACAGAGGGAGGGGAACATCACATGCGGGGCCCTGTCGGTGCATAGGGGAAGAGGGGAGGGAGAACATTAGGACAAACACCTAATACATGCGGGGCTTAAAACCTAGATGATAACCTAGATGGCTAATGGGTGCAGCAAACCACCATGGCGCATATATACCTATGTAACAAACCAGCACGTCCTGCACATGTATCCCGGAACGAAAAGTAAAATAAAATACAATAATAACGAAAGCATCACACAATTTCTAGGACTTCATCCCCCTGTATGGCTGAATGTAGGAAAAAAGTATCACCCTCTCACGGTTAGTTAAGGATCAGACTCACTGTTCTAATCTTGCCTGTACAAGTTAGTAGCTCTGTGGTCCTGGACGATTAGCCTCTCTGTGCCTGTTTCCTTTTTTCATAAAAGGAGGCAATAACAGTACCCTTCCTGTAGCTTTGTTGTGAAAATTAAATGACATCTGGGATCATTAGGAAAAAAAAAAAGAAAGAAAGAAAAGAAAAAATGAGAGGGACTGGGGCACAGATCCCAGCCTGGTGCTTCCCCAGCCCTGCAGCCTTTTCTCCTCCTCTCTGTGTCGGACAGAGCCAGCCACTCAGACTATACTTGGTGAAAAGAAAATAAGCAGCAATTCTCTGCAAAACCTCTGGCAACAAAATGCAAGCTCGGAATTGAGAATTCTGGGAGGGTTGCTGACTCTCTGTGTTCTCCTCCCTCCACATCTCAGACCCCGGGCCAGCTGCATTTCCCCTCCGCCCTTCCTCATGTTCCCACCCAAGCTGCCCCTTGCCCCGTGTCCTTAACAGCGAGCCACTGTGGCATCCACTCTGACCAGCAAATGCCTCCACACTTACAAACACTATCAGCAGCACCTGACTCTGCATCTCTAAGAGCTGAGGGCTCACAGCTGCCCCCAAGCACGCAGCCCTTCAACTTCAAGGTCCAGCTGTCAAGACTAAGAAAGTGGCCTGCCGGGGCTTTGCTGCCTTTAAAAGAAAGACAGAGCAGAACGCGACCCACGTGTGACCCTTTGAAAAGCGTCTGTTCTGGGCTAACTGGACATATAAATGCAGCCTGAGATTTTAAACCAAGTTATTTCATTTTTAACTTGAAATTGATTCCAACTAATATCTTAATATTGGTATTTAGTATATTTAATGTTGAATAACATCAAGTAGTAATTTGATACTATTACTTTATATACTATTTATATTTATATACTTTGTGAAGCAGACAGTTGCTGTGATATTTTCAGTCTGAATCAAGCCCTGGGCACCGAGGTAGCCCATCCCAGAGGCAAATGGCAGGACTGGAATGGCGACTTAAGATCTAATTTCAGAATTCTAGATTAAAGTTTTCCTGCATTGAGTAACTGTCTACTGAGGACTGCCCAGAAGCCCAGTGGCCAGTCCATGCAGAGCTTTCACACTTTGTCTTCAGGAACAAAGGTGCTGACTCTTAGAACCCCAACACTCTCCCTGCTGCCCTCTACACACCAGTAGCTATTTCTAAGAAAAAATAAGTATGTCATGTAAATACATTTTTCTGTTTGTTTTTGGGCTTCTTGATGGTGACTAACATGCCTGATTAAGAAGGATGTCACACAAAAGCAATCTTTCCTGCGGCCTGTCAGGGTACACAGAGCCTTAAGATGTCCCAGGGGCGCCAGGCAGAGATGTCCGTCACTTCCTGGCCAGCACCTGGTGTGCCTTCGACAGCAGCCTCCCTGAGAAAGCAGTTCCAGGCAGTATCTGTCTGCTGCAGCCATCCTGAAAGACAGGGAAGCCCTGCTGCCTGCTACCCCTGCAAGAAAGCCCAGAGCTCTCCCTGCGTCTCTTGGGCTGTTTCCTTCACCTAAACGCTCTGCTGCTGCCTGCCCCCGACTCCTGAGTGCAGAAAAGCCGGACCTTGTGTGAAGGCCCAGCCCCAGTAGCACTCCCACCCCCTCCCACAGGGCTGCCTCCGAGCCCTGCCTGCAAGTCACATACTCTGCCCCCAAGTGACCGCTACGTGCAGTGGTCATTTGGTTTCTTTCATGTCAAGCACAGTGGCAGGCCAGGTGGAAATCAAGGTCTCCGCTCCACGACTTACAGCTGGACGATCCTGGCTGCTAATTTACTCACTCTGAGCCGAGACTCAGCAAGAACCAGAGGCCACCGTCCACTCTGCACCTCTGCTCTGAGGAGGAGGGCAGCTCCCGCACGTGAAGCCTCTGGCATGCCCCTTCTGGTATTTAGTGCATGTTGCACAGCAGACCTTACCAGTCATTAGGGCCCCAGGGCCGGAGCTACCTAGAAACAAGCCCATAAATGTTGGCGGGAATGGAGGGTCTGCATGTGAAGCCCAGCCCTGCCCGTCACAGGAAACGGGAATCCCAGGGGTCCCAGAACATGAGCAGATGCGGGAAGCCACCCTAGAGCCCACTCAAGCCCAGTCACTTGATTTTTGTCTCCATTATCTCAACTTCCTACTTCACTTAGCAGGACAGTGCTTCATCTTCTAGCTGAAATCTTATTACTGGGCAACACCCACCTAAGAGACAACTTATAATTACTGCCCAAAGTGAAAAATTGACCTCCTCACCGCCGCCCTGGCTGAGCAAGGCACGCCAGATGCACTCGGCCGCAGAGTCTGGGCACAGGGAGCGGCCGTGCACATGCCACACGGGCCACCACTCCCATCCCCACCAAGAGCTCAGGGGCAGGGGTGGGCCCTGAATTCAGGTCTATCCTAATTAATGGTCAGGCCATCAGAGAGGCCTGGAAGTGCTGTGCCACCAGGAATAGTAGCACAGCCAAGCCAGGCGGGGACTCCTCTGCTTGTCCCCTGCATGAATTACATGGCTCTCGGCTCCTTCTCACTCCCAGGGCAGACACCAGTGTCGTGTAGACCAGCATATCACCCTGGGCCTCCCAAGAGCATGTGAACGTCACCACATGGGAAAAACTACAGCGTGCCAGGTGTAACCACCACATGTCAACGACAGTACAACCCTAGCCATGAAGGCCATCACAGGAGATACAAGGAAATACAGCCCTGATGCAAAGGTGATGATGTTAACACCTGCCAAGGCCCAGCAGCAACGCTGGTTTTCAGTTATATTATCCCTCTTACTTTTCTGTGTTTCAAAAACCAATCAGCAAAGCAAAAGCAAGCTCCAGCTCCCAGGCCTTGCACTAATACAGCACGCTGCTCCTCCGCACTCTACGCAGGGGCAGACAGAGGCAACGAGACCCTCCTCACAGCCTGTTTCCACAGCACTGTGAGGACCCCACTGCAGAGAACCCCCACATTCCCACCACCCTGAGCTCCTGAAAACACTGAGGGAAACGCGTCCCTTCGTTGCACAGCCTGAGGTCTCGCAAGGACACACCTGGCCCACGGGCTGATTTCTAACCTGATTTCGTAAGACCAAAACCCACAAACCCGCAATCTTTTTCCGGAATGAGTCATATGCCAGGATTTGGGGGAACAGCCCCCGTGTTCACCAAGCCCACCCTCCAGCTACACGGCGTGTGGTTTTCATACCGACCAGGACAAGCTTAGACTCCTGGAGTCCTCATGCTGCAAAAGTCCTTGGTTTCAAGTTCTCTCCTCCAAGAAGAACCGCCTCCTCTTCCGACTGTGTCCTGACCTCAGGGCTTCACCGCTTGATGCCCTGCTCCCCAAGACACAGGCCCCCCCTGCCCAGCCCCCTCGGGCACCGTGCGGCTCCCCACCTTGACGTGGTAGTGGGCATCCAGCAGGATGTTCGCGGGCTTGAGGTCCAGGTGCAGGAGTGGCGGGGCCATGCAGTGCAGGAAGTTCATGCCCACCGCTGTCTCGTGGATGATGCGGAACCGGAGATCCCACGGCAACGGCTCTGAGGCCAGCAGCTTTTCCAGGGAGCCCGTCTCCATGTACTCCATGACCAGGCCGACAGGTTCGCGGCAGATGCCGTACACAGGCAGGATGTAGCGAAACTTGGCCATCTCCATCTTCTTGGCTTCTTCCAAAAGCTCCATGCGCTCCCTGAAAAAGTTCAAAGGCATGAAGAACATGCAGTGGTCACTCAGCCACAAACACAGAACAGCAACCTGGCCAGAAGACGACTGGCTCCAGAGGGCTGCGCAAATGCCTCAAGTGCACACACACGGGGCACACTTTACTGTCACATCACTAATGCAGGGCTTTCCAGAATCTCTGTCCTGAGGCTGCTGAAATGTACCTGTGCAACACAGGGTTATCAGAAGTGAGAAGGAGGGAAATTCTAATTTTATATACATACACACGCACACATATATATATAGAGAGAGAGAGATAAAATGTAGTAAAATAGACATAACATAGTATTAATTATTTTAGCCATTCACAGGTGTACAATTCCCTGGCATTACACACATTCACAATATGGTACAACCATCACTACTATCTATACCCAAAACTTTTCCATCAACCTCAACAAAAAGTCTGCACCCACTAACCAGTAACTCCTTCCCTCACCCCCATCCTCAGTAACCTCTTTTCTACATTCTAGGCAAATTCATATATGTGCAAGCATATAAAATTTGCCCTTCTGTGTCTGGCTTGCTTCATTAAGCATGTTTCGGGGTTTATTCACGCTGTAACATATATGAACACTTCCTTTTCATGGCTGAATAATATTCCGCTGCATGAAATGTACTGCGCTTTGTTCATCTGTTCGTGGGTGCAGGCCACTTCCACCTTTTGGCTCTTGTGGATAATGCTGTACAGCTGCACACATTGGGGGACAAACGCCTGGAGACCTGGCTTTCAATTATTTCGGATATATACCTAGGAGCAGAATCGCTTGGTCACATTCTATGTGTAACATTTTGAGAAACTGCCAAATGGTTGCCCACAGCCTGCCACCTTGTTTGTATAAACTTTTACTGGAAGAAAGTCTCACCCATTCATTTAAATACTGGCTGTGGCTGCTTTTGCACTTCAAAGGGGAGAGGAGTCCTTGCCACAGAGGCCCTGCGGCCTGCGAAGCCTAAAATGTTGCCTCTGTAGCCCGTTGTGGAGAAAGTCTGCCAACCTCTGGTCTGAGGCCACTTCCCTGGTGCAGCCTGTGTTTTCACAGACTGGAATCCCAGTGCAGTGGTCTGCATTAGTGTCATGGGTCAAAAGTCTCAGAATGCGTTCAGGGTAAGAGGCTGAATCCGAGGATGCACGCTGGCCATGGAGGATCTAGGTCAGCAGTCCCAAACACAGACATGGTAGAAAGCACCCAGGAAGCTGGCTGGAATGCTGGTTCCCAGGCCTCGCTCCTTGAGAATGTGTTCCAGGTTGGGGCTGGAAAATCTGCTTTTTTTTTTTTTTTTTTTTTTTTTTTTGAAACAGAGTCTCGTTCTGTTGCCCAGACTGGAGTGCAGTGGCATCATCCTGGCTCACTGCAACCTCCACCTCCCGGGTTCAAGTGATTCTCATGCCTCAGCCTCCAGAGTAGCTAGGATTACAGGTGTGCCACATTCAGCTAATTTTCTGTATTTTTAGTAGAAATGGGGTTTTGCTATCTTGGCCAGGCTGGTCTTGAACTCCTGGACTCAAGTGATTCGCCTGCCTCAGCTCCCAAAGTGCTGGGATTACAGGAATGAGTCACTGTCCCCGGCCAATCTGCTTTCTAATAATATAATAATGAGCTCCCTAAAGGAAACGTTCAGAACCACACTTGGAGAGATCTGACCTCCTAGAGCAGGAAACCCAGCAGCTCCATGTCCACACACAGGCCACGCAAGGCAGCTGGCTGGGGTGGCCCTCAGGTAATTCCCCCAGAATCCAGAGTCCAGCCCAAGTCCCTGCCTATAACCCAGTCTCTGCTGCCACAGCAGGGGGCTCTTCTGCAGCCTGGACACAGGCCTGCCCCTCCCAGTGACAAACCCTGGAGCAGGTGCTGGGAAATCACTCAGTGGCTCCCATTTCCTGGCCTGCTGGAGAATCCAAAACAAAACAGTGCCAACAGAACGCATCCATTTCTTGATGATCTGACCTCCCCTGTGAGATTCAGCCCCTCCCAGGCTTCCCTTACGGTAGTGAAAACACTTTCCCCGCAGGAAAGGCCAGCAGGAACCCAGGAATCCTACTGTTTAGCTCCTGCTGTGGAAATTCCCATACATGGGACAGGTACCAAAGGCTTGGAGATCTCAGTCTGTCTGCCCCCCACAATGCGAGCCCTGCAGCTAGGGCTCTGCGTCTCAGGGCATAGCCCCACTGGTTCTCAATTAGAGGCAACTTCACCCCCCGAGAAACACTGGGCAATGTCTGGAAAGATTCTGGTTGTCACAACTGAAGGATCTACCAAACATGCTACAATGCATAAGACAGCCCCAAGGCTAAGAATTACTCAGCCCCAAATGCCAGTGGTGCCAAGTTTAATAACCCTGATGTAAACCAAGTGAGTGCATTTTCAGCCAACAAACTACTACTGTCCAGAATCACCACTTCAGTACCCCCAGCACTCACCTGACCTTTATTTTAAGCAGTTCTGTGTACTGGCAAGCGCTCGCTGGAATCCACTATATGTCAGAACTAAAGACAGGAGGTCCCTTTCCTGTCTTCATGGGGTTTACGTGTACCCTCTAAGGGAGAAGATGGAGAATTACCCCCAAAAGAGAAGTGTGGTTGAAAAATCTAAGCCTCTTGAAAGGAAGGTCCAGGGAACTATGGAGAATCAAGAGAGACCCAAAGTCAGAAGTCAGCGTCAGAAAGGGCCCCTGAGAGAGTCGGGAAGGCTGAGACCTGCACAGAGTCCAGGGGCACCCGGGAGGCCAGCAAAGCAGAGCGGTCACTGTGGACCCCCTTGGGCTTGGCAGAGCGGAGAGGGGAAGCCAGCAGAGCACACACACTCCGTAGGAAGAATCTGCCGGACGGGTCCACTGACTGCATGTGGAGGAGAAAGGCTTACGTGACCTCTCTGGAGCTGTACGAGGGGTCGCTAGGCAGCCCCCCATGGTGGACGTAGGAGCACCCCAGGAGAAGCAGCTGGGAGGGTGTGGGAGGTGGGCAGGTCAAGAGTGTGTCTGAATACACTCAAGGAGCAAAGAATCCCACTGGCCTTGGGAACAAGTGAAGCAGGTATCAGGAATGAATGTGAAATTATTATGAGACAAAACGGAGGGTAGCATGGCCTGCTTTTCCTAGCACTCTGGTTAAATGACCAATTAATGGAAAACAAGATGCCCACCAGTGTGCAGTGCTGGCCTGTGGGGGTCCCTGGGCCGAGCTGAAAGCTGCCCCATCACCAGCATACCGTTGGCTGCTCCCTCCCTCCAGGGGAAATCCTTCTCCCTGCAGCCACCGGCGTGGGCCAGGCTCTGGGACCCATCAAGGGATGGGGGGACTCTCAAGCCAGTTCCCAGTCTCAATGAGCATTGGGAAAAAAGGAAGAGGGCCTGATGCCAATGTCAAGCATCAGCTAAAATGAAACCGGTCACCAAAGAAGGAAAATGACACCTCTCAGCTCCCGGCCTTTCTCCGCCTCTGGGAACACCGGTTGGCTGAGGCCCTCATTTGTTACTTAAAGGAATACAAGCACAACTTCCACCCCAGCAACAGCCGCTAACTTCCAAACTGTCGGACTGGGACATGGTACCAGCTGCTGCTTCTGTCTTCTGTCTTGTTAAGAATCAGAGTTATGATTTGCCTGTTTCCGATTATTCAAATGTGGCCAGCTTGCCGCCCCTCCCCTACCAGTGCAGCCTCCCTCCTCCAGACACCCTGCCCGGGGGAGCGGGCCAAAGTCCTTACACAGGACTCAGACCCACATCCACCGTGCAACCCTGTGAGGCACACCCTCCTTGCCGGAGGGTTTTGAGGAAATGACAATTCAGGTGTTTAGAGGCTGGCCATTCACAAGGGTCATTTTTCTACATTTAGTAGACATTCTGAGTGTGAACTCTCTAAGCCAAAGCTGACTGATAACAAACACGTATTCTGAGAACAAAGTCAATCAAAGGAAGGCTGAGTAGCTTATTAAGTGGAAGCTCTGAGCCACTCTGCAAATAGTGTTTTCTTCTTTTTGCCCAAGGGCTTAATACATAAAACTCAGGTGACTTCTGATTGCAGAGCGAGCTCATTAGCAACTCTAACAGCTACGGGCTGGCGGCAGAGCACACCCCTCCCCAGCGCACCGAGTTCAGCAAGTACTTTACTCTCCCTGCCCCGGGCCCTATCTGCAGAACAGAGACCCCATTTACCTTACTTTAAAAGAAACAACAAACAAAAAAGGGCCACTGCTGCCGGTTGGGTCCCGAAAGCGGATCCCTGCTAGAATCTCCTAACGGAGTCCAACCCATCTTTGCACAACTGCCTGAAGGGAGCCGAGCACGACTTCCCCCTTCCACGGGCCACACATTTTCCTCGAGGAAAATCAGCTGTCCTGGAAAAAAAAATCATTGTTTCCGTGGACAAAAGTGTCTTCTCTGTGACAGCATGATCCAAACTGGCTTGGGGTAGACAGGATTCCGGCTGAGGCAGGGGGTCCCGGGACCGCCCCGTGGAAGATCTGAGGCCCAGGAGTGGAGGTGGAGCGGCTCTCTTGCCTACCAGCATGGATTTCGTTCAGAAGCACCGGCATATCCTCAGGAACTTTCCATACTGTTTACCATCCAGTAACCACTGGCCAAAACCCACACGACCCCTCCTTCCAGCCTCTCTTCAGGTGCTCACTAGGCGACATCTGGGAAACTCCAGTGGCTTTAGGAAGCTCCAGCCCTTCTGGGGTCAGGTGTCGCCCGGCGGCATTTGCAATTCAATAAGCCTGAAAGGGCCTCCTGGCAAGCTGCAGGAAGAGGCTTCTCTGCTGGAGGGAGGTTACGAAGTGCTCAGGTACTCTGAGCACAGAAAGAACCCACCAATTGCTTTTTAGCAATGGCACTATTTTTTTAAATATATTTTTTCTTCTAAGCAGTGTTTCTGGCTTGTTTTGATGACCACACAAAAGGAACTGTAGATTTATTGTTATCATTATTTTAAGACATGGAAAGATGCCGAATCCAGCCTAGGTGCTGGAGTGGCGGCCAGGGAGCACGGAACATCACATAGTCACGTTCACACTGTCTCCAAATCGCATTTCTTACTGTTGACAGTGAGGTCAGCGTTTCTGGGTTGACCAGAACCCCCTCTCGCCGGTGTTAATTAAAACACAACCTAAAAACTGTGCCTTGCTCCAAGCGCTGATAGGCTTAGGCATAGTTCATGGGGGTGGCGCCCTGTTCCCCTCTCCTTCGCTGCTGAGGAAAGCGCTGCTAATTCTGCTTCCGTGCAGGAACAGGGAAAGCCCCCACCCCACAGTCCCCTGGGCCCTGTTTTGGGTTCCACATGAAAAATCTCTGGACATTAATTAGGATTAACTTGTGGTTCAACTTTTTAAAGATACGATGAGTAGCACTTACATGAATTCGGGTTTCTCCTCATTTAGGGCTAGCCAAAGTGTATTTCCCCCTCCTAGGGAGGGCACTGGAGTAGCAAGAAATACGAGAAATATCATCACACCAACCATTTCTAAAAGGAACTTCCTAAAGTCCCAGGGTTCTTCTCCAGGCTCAGAAACCCCAAAGACCTGCGGAACAGGCCAGCTGCGGTTTCCCCTGGAAGCACGCAACCTGGAAAGGGGGAAAGAACAACCCCTGGACGTGGTCTTGTGCGAGTGGAGAAGCAGTAAACGAAGGGAAAAGTGAGAAGCAGGGAGGTGGGGGAGGCGGTGAGACCGCTCAGGTAACAAAGAGCTCCTAAGGAGAAACCTAGGAACTACCTTCGGGAAAATGTAGCCGGAAAAGTGTTTCATCATCTGTTAGCTGATGCCTCGCAGTGAGGCCTTCTGCACACGAATCCAATTATGTTCCCAGGGAGCCTCGGAGGGGTTCCCACACGGCTATTTTTAAAACTGACAAGAAATGGGCTTGTCCAATTGTCAGCTCTGTTGTTACAAACCTGGGGTTTGCTCAGGCTCGCCCTGACCAGCCAGGGCTGAATGTGGCAGGAGCAGGAGTGGCTCCCAGCCGGCGCCCCGCAGGCACTGGCTTCTTCTGAGCATCCCCTTCGCTGGGGGCTGGCAGGGGAAGAACGGGGCCTTTGGGATCACTTTATTCTCTCCAAACTGGTCACAGCACCCATCCCTACACCCCAACCTAGGCCCTGTGACCCCCCACAATGAGGGTCAGCCAGGGAGGCCAGCTATCTCTCCAAAGCCACCCCATAGGACCCTCCGAGGCACCAAGCCCCATGACGAAGGGAACCTCAGATCAATGGGGTATCACCTGTGAACTACCAGGAGCCCTGGGAGCTCCTGGGAGCCCTGCCAAGTGTCTAGGGGCTAGGCAGCCCCCCGACCTTTCTTGCATAGAAAAGCATGCTCACATGGCCTGGCACAGCCTGCTAATCAAAGAAGTCTTGGGCAGGTGCTGTGGCCAAGGGGTGGCTAAAGGCTGGGGCCCAGGGGAGCTGCAGGGAGCCAGGAGACCCCAGACTACCTTGAGAGGCAAGCAGCCTTGACCAGTGAAAATCAGCCTCACCTGCACCTGTACCTGTGGTGGCTCCTATGCAACAAGTGGTGAGGACCATAATTGACCCCAGGCAGCCTGGAAAAGGCTCAGACCCATGTGGCAGGGGTGAGAGGGGCTGTCCCTCCGAGAAGAGAAGCAAGACTTAGGCAGAAGGGGTACAGGGCTGGGGGCTGCACACAAAGACCCCAGGAAAATACTATCTCCCAATTCAGGGAACATCTTGCAAATATGAGGGGCTGGGGTGGGAGGCAGCTCGTCAGAAAAACACTGAGAAATTTGGCAGGGCACATGACACAGCAACTACCTTAAGGCACAGCAGGACTGATGTACATTCCTAACAAGAACCTCAAGCCGAATACAGTTAATAATTAACCTAAAGGAATCAACTTCGCAAACAGCCGGGGTTTGACCATCTTCTCAGAAAGATCAGCCACTGCTGCACACGGCAAAGCCCCAACCTGCTCTACCAGGCCCAGGAGAGCACAGCAGGTGAAATGCTTCCTGCTAGGCGATGCTGACCTCGACCTAGCCACCTGACATGCCACCACCTGTCTGCTTTGGGCAGGGCAGGAAAGGCTTCCAGTTAAAGTACAAAACACTTTTCAACCAAGCTATGCAATATCCTAAGTGATCCGCCTCAAGTGTAGAAAGCCTCCCTCCAACTAGGCCACCCAAGATATAGGGACTGGTCGCTAGAAATAACAGAAGATCCTAAGGATGTGAGCTGGTGAGTCAGTCTGGGGAGGTGCTTGTTTACTTTGCTCTTCCAATACAAGAAAGTGGTGTTAAAATTTTCGCTGATTAAAACTCGCTGCAACTACAAGACTGTCAGACACACATCCCCAAGAGAGAAAACGAATGCCCCTATGGAGAGGGTTCCCTTTCAGAACCTAACCACTGGCTGGTACTCAAAGTGGTTTGGATTTCATCAAAATAACCACAGCACCCCTCCTGGCCTGAGAAGTTCCCAGGATCTGGGGCAGGGGAGAAAAAGTGCACAGCCTGGGCCAGCATCTCACCTTTGAACTAGTGGTGACTGGATGACACTCTATTGATGTTTCCAAGAAACACTGCATTTGAAGGTTACGGCAAAAAGCCACCAATAGCTCTGCTGTGTAGTCTCCTAGCCAAGGACGAAAATGCAAAGGGAGAGGACGGGTCTCTCATCCACAGAGGCGTCATAGTCACGACATGGGGCTGCAGCACGCGCTCCCACCCCAGACACAAGCATCACAACGATTCTGCAGAAAAGCTGGGGCTTAGCGGCCCCATCACTCAATCAGCCAAACATTCAAAACCAGGTCTGCCAGGCAGCAAAGGCTAAATGGTATTTTTAAAAGTAGCCGCTTCTGAGTGTATGTGTCCAGGGAATCTCTAGGTAAAATACAAGCATAGCTTCCATGTAGAATGTAAGCTTCATTAAAGGATAAGTAATTAAAATGTGCTAAATTAAGCCTTACATATAAACCATCAAAATCAACTGTAAACAGTGAAATCTACAACAACAAAGAGGTGCTGGTCAAGAACAGTCTCCCTACCTCTCAAATTATGCACAGACGACAATCGACCCACCGAATTTAAGAGGGGCGGCTCTGCGTCCTTCCCATTCGTCTTTGTTACCTTGAACACTCCTGCTAGGTACTAGGTACAGACAGGTTTCATTCTGACTTTTGGACAGAGAAAATGGGTTGCAGGAGGGCCCCATGGCACGGCCACAGAGCATTAACCCAAGGCCCTTCCCCAGCGGTTCGGTCTCGAAATTAAGTCAGCTAAAACGAGAGTGTGCGGCGAGAAGGGGCTGGGTGGACGGATCAACACCCCAGACCCCATGCCGGACCCCACTGCCAGGTCCGAGCCCTGGAGTTCCAACGCGCAAGCGTCGGGCGCCCGGGAAACCTCGCCCGAGCCAAGCCGAAGCTTCCGACCGAAATAATTACTGTCTTACACCAATTTGTGTTCCAACGTAAATTACTAAGTAAGTCGAACGAAGGCTAACTCCACTCACAAAGCCCAGAGGCCCACACAGCAATTTTTCTAAGCCCTGCGCAGACCGCAACTCCCCGGTGGGTCCCGGGCAGGCCGGACGCGCCTCCCAAGGGCACGGGTCCGAGGCGCAAGGCGAGCTGGAGACCCCAAACAACCGGGGCCATTCGGGGAGTGTCAGGAAGCACGACTGGGCGCCTTCGGACGTCCGGGCAGACGCGGCCCCCGAGGAGCCCCCGAGGAGCCGCCTGACCCGGCCCCGATGTGCGCGATCGCGCCCGGGCTCGCCAAAGCCCCCGCGCCCCTCCGGCCGGGACAGGCCGAGTGGTCACTGCCGGAGTCCCGCGGCCTCGCCGGCAATTGGTTTACCCCCCTAAGCTGCTCCAGGGGTGAGTTCGGGAGAGAGAGGCAGGACCCCGGGACCCGACACCCCGACCCCGGCTCCGGCCTCGCCCGCCCCAGCGCCCCGCCCGGGCCGCTCACCTGTCGTCGACGTGCAGGCTGGGCGAGCACTTGATGGCGAGCCAGGTCTTCCAGTGGACATGGCGCACCTTGTACACCTGCCCGAAGCCACCCGAGCCCACCTTCTCCCAGCCTGTGAACTCGCCCGCGTCGAAGGTGCGCAGCAGCCCCAGGGCCCACGGGGTCCCGCCGTCGCCCTCCATCGCGCGCGTCTAGCCAGCGCCGCCGCGGCCGCCCAGGTGCCCAGGTGCCCAGGTGCGCGCCCCGCCCCGTTACGTCACTTCCGTCGATCGCCCCGCCCCTCTGCCCCGCCCACTTCCCTGCCAGCGCCGGGTGACTGCGGACCGATGAATAGACGCGCGGGGTCACTGCGCTCTCCCCTGGGTGTTCAGGGCGTGAGAAGGGCCTCGACGTGCTCATCAGCTGCCCTGCTTTTCTTTGCTTTTTTTCCCCTTAATTGCGGAGTCACATGCCGTTGGAAGAAATCATTCACTTTGCCCAGTTTCCCCCAGTGCTATCACTTTGCAAAACTTTATCAAAAAAAAGTACAGTCTCACAGCCAGGATATTGACTTTGATACAGTCACCGATCTTATTAGTTTTGCCCTGTTTTACTCGTCTTCCTTTGCATGTATTAGGTTTACACAATGTAATCATCTGTGTAGCTTCTCGTACCCACCCCTACCAGGCCCCTCCTGTGGCGATTTTACAGCCGCAGCCCGGAGCCCTGGCATCACTAATCTTTCCTCTATTTCTAAAATTGTTTTATTTCAGAAATATTATGTTTAGATACAGGAATCATGCAGCGCCTAGTTTTTTGAAATTGGCTTTCTTCACTCGTCAGCCTAATTCCCTGCAGGTTCATGTCTTGCTTTTTTACACGAGTTTCCTCTTAGAAAGTAACTTTTTAAAAAAAATTACCCAACAGCAAATCTGAAGTACATTTCAAATGCAAGAGTTCCCTCATCCTTTCCTAAATAACAGCCTCTTTTTACAGATGGTTTGAAAAGGAAAGATTTTTTTTTCACATATGGGAAAAAAAAAATTTCCAGCCTTGGAAGGATGTTTGGGTTAGAGGCCGAAGTGCATCACAGATCACGCACACGTCCACACCTCAGAAAACACTCACACATTCCTGAGACGCAACAGTGAGTGAAGGCTTATTTTTGGCCACAGGAGATGAATAATGAAGACAGGAGGGAGGAGCTAAAGGAGAGGGTATTTTAACGACATTAACTGTGTTTTTGTGTTAGTCACTCGGAAAGAGAGAGGCTGCCCCAAGTCAGCGCATTGGAAGCTGCAGACCTAGCGTCTCCAGGCTCCCCCTTCCAATCGGGCACGGACCTTCTTTCACAGCCTGTAGCGGGGAGCCGCGTCTCCCCACTGCCTCCCCGCTCCCATCTGGCCGTTCTTTGGAGCGAACTCACACATCCCAACATGACGATGCTTGCTCGGGGGCCTCCTGGGGGCACCAGGGAGCCACTTCCTTTCCCACATACTCTGGAAATTAAAACTGGTCTCCTTAAGGCTGGAGTGGCAAATAGTTGTTTTAAGCTTGTCACAAATGTAACTTACATTTGAACTAATGTTTTAAAAAATAATTGGAGTTTTGAATCTGTGAAGATAACTTGGAAGCAAACATAGTTATTATTTTGGTGGGAAAAAAAATGTATGGACTGGAAAGTGAATCATCTGCACTGTTTCCGGGGCTCAGCTCTAGCAAAGTACCTTTCTGCCTCTACAGTCTCCAAGGCACACAGCTCCGCTGCTGGGGCTGACTAACAGCCCACACCATCAAGTAATAAAACGCTCCAATTTCATATATTTAATCATCTGTGTCCTTCATTTGACAAATATTTATGGAGTGTCTGCTGCTGGCTCAGTACCAGGTGCCTGGGACTGGAGACCAGAGCCCCTGGAGACCAAAATAGCCAGCTCCCAGCTGTGAGCAGATCGAGTCCAAAGATCACGGGCTGGGCTGCAGGAACCTGGTTTGGTATCCGGCTCCTCTGCAGACTTTGAAGTGCTTTACTGATTCACATGACAACTGGTAAAAGAAAAACAAACACCTTTACAGGAATTGTGAATTCGAGTTCCAGACCCACCGGGATTCCGGGAGCGCAATTGCTATTTATGTTAGCAGTCCTTGGTCCCAGGCTGGGAAGGTTAGCATTTCCAAGTATAAAAGTAATTTAAAGTTTCGCTTTAAATACATTTTAGGGCCAAAGAAAAGTGGACCAATTTAAAGAAAAAGATGAAATGAATAATAGGGCAAGTTGTGTATCTCAGACTTGGGAGGTGGCTGTCCTGAGGATTAATGGGGCAATATTAATTAACCTCATGAAGTGTCTACATGGACAATGTGCCCGGTGTGGTTACAGACAAACCAATCAGCACAGATCCTGGGTGGAAAGCAGGGCGCAGTCACGGAGGCGCAGTAGGGGTGCAGACTTGAAGGTTTTCAGGAGGTGAGCTCCGAGGGCATGAAGCTCCACAGAGAGACTGTCGACCCGCCTGGGAGTGCGGGTGAGGAGGGGAGGGACGACCAGGGGAGACAATGGCGGATGGGAGGTGGGAAGGAGGAGTTGTGGAAGGGGGCTGTCTGCTGATATTTGCAAGCCCCCACTCCCCAACTACCCTGTGTGCTTCCTGGCCCCTTTCCCAGAAGAATTCCAAATCTGGTTTCCTCCTATACTGGATGTCCTGACTGCGAATCTAAATAGGTGATCCCTTGAGCTCCAGGTCCTCAAGCTGTGCCCTTCTTCATAGGGGGCCATTTAGCACTGACCCAGCAGGCAGCCCAAGGTCCCTGGTCTGGAAGTGTCGGGAAGCTGCCATTAACATTGTACCACAGGGAACAGTGAAGGTTGCCGGCCAGGGAGAAGACAGGATAGAGAGGTCTCTGGGTTTGCAGCCAGCCTGCCTCAGATGGGGTCCCAGGATGCGACCATGGTGCATGTGCCTGTCCCTGATGTGTGGGATAGAGGTACCTGCTTCGAGATGTCTGTGGGGATCCAAGCAGATGATAATTATATGTGTGTGGCACATGCTAGGCTGTGGATGAATAGTGAGATTTTAAACTGAGTCATTTTCATCTTTGTCCTTCTCAGGGTCCTAGAGTAACTTAGCTCTCATAAGCATATGGCTCAGTGACATTGTGGAGCCGACATGGGCTGACCTGGCTCTCAGGGGCCCCAGAATAAAGCCAGAGCCCCTGGGGTCCACCTGCCAGCATGACCATGGGGCAGGGGAGCGAAGCTGAGCTGGGCTGGCCACCTGGAAACACTGTCCCCTCCCACCAGGCCTCTGCACCCAGCCTCCTCTGTCTAGCAGGCTCCTCACTCCCCTACAACAGCCGCTCCTGCCACCACTTGCGGGGTTGTTTTTGAGAATTCCCTGTGTGTTCTGTTATTTTCTAAAACAATATAACTTGTTCACTGCAGAGATTCTGCTTTCACTAATTCTGACAAAGTGATTTAAGAGAGACATTGAGGGCCTGATTCGCAAGGGCTCCCAGACCACCTCTGGGAGACCCATCTCCACCTGACACCCAACTCCTCGCTCTTTTACTCAAGCAAATATTTTCTGTTTACACAAACACTTCCTTATCAGAGACAGCTCCTCCTTTGACCCAGTGGTTCCATAAGTCTTCCTGCAGGATCATTCACTCCGTGTCCTGGGAATACAGAATGAGGGGTGCCGTTCAGCCACCTAGGGGCTTGTGTCTGATGGCAGAAGCCGTCAAGCAGACAGGGGATGAATTATAATTGTAATAATGCTATGTTGTAATCTCCTTTGCACCCTCATCCTCCACTCTGTAGTCTTTAAATGTGGGGCTTCTTAAAACTCCAATCTGGAGCCTCCCTGATCCTCCCCTTTTTCCCCAGGCAGCTCATCCAAGCCCACGTAAGCTTCCATGTATTCTACGAAGATCCCTAAGCTTCTCTCTGCAGGCCAGACCTTTCCTCTGAGGAAAACCCCCAAAACTTAACATGGTGTGCACAGTAGGATGTCCCTAAGGCACCTCTACCCATTTGAGATAAGTCTTTGCTTTTCACCCCCAAACTGGGTCTTTGCAGCATTCCTGTCTCTGTGAACAAGCTCTTTCCATTCTGAAGGCCAAGACAGAGTAGCTTATGGCCCCCACTGCACATTCAATCCAGTCCTGTGTCCCAGCACCACCCTGACCAGGACAAGAGGCAAACCTGCCCTGGCCCCGAATGTTAAAGGGCTCCAGTCTGCTGCTCCTTGGACCTTCCTGTGTACCCAGTGCCTGGCGTCCATGGGGCCAGGAGACACCCACCCCCATAGATCAAGAAAGCTCTGTGGACGCTGAAATTCCCAGCTCAAATGTTCCTCAGCTGCCTGCAGCCGCCGCACGTGTTCATTCCCCTGAGGGCAACTGCACGACAGGTGTGAGCACCTGAGCCCCCAAGTGCAGCCAAGAGAAAGCTGTGTGCAAGGGCCATGGGCGGAGCTCAGCCTGAAGCCCCGGATGTTCGCGCATGTGCCAGTGAGGCCGTTCGTGGGTTAGGACAGAGCTGAAGGCAGCAGGAGCGGGGGCTCTTCGGGGGCCAGAAGCTGAGAATCCTCAGCTGTGCTCTAGGCGTGAGAGTCAGAGGACAGAACACACTTCATTTAATTCATTGTTCGCTTGGTGGAGAACTTTCAACAATTCAGACATGTGGCCCCTAGGCCTGGTTATTGTAGCCTCCTCTTGAGTCCAGAAGCATCACCACAGGTCTGGTCACCAAGCTTGGCAGCTCTTCCATCCTGAGCCTCCCTGCCTGTGATTCTGTCCCCTGAGCCAGTGCCTGGACCCCAGTCAAGGTCGCTCCCATCTGGTCATGACAGCAGTCACCCTGTCTCCAGAGGGCTCAGGAAGGTCTCCAGACACCCATGAGACCCTAGCCCCAGCCAGGGTGTCTTGACACAGTCTAGAGGGAGAATTCAGGGACAAGTGGTAATGGTGTGAAAGGCACCATTTGCTTTTATTGCAAAGAGAAAGTGGGCACTGGAGAGAGAGCTTGGACTTGTGTGGGAGAACAAGTCACACACAGTGAAGTTTGCGTTTCTGATTTTGTGGGCTTCTCTTTAATTAGGGGGTGGAATAATCATTAAGTATTTTAGAAAACAGAGGAGATTTCAGGGACCTCCTGATTACCACCCTTTTTATCCCTCATTTGTGTTTGCTTGGAAGCGTCCTGGACGTGTCACCCTGACAGGGGTTTCGGCTGTTTTCTCTCCCTTATTTGAGTTTTCTATTATCCTAAGGTTCCTTTGCCTGGTACTC